AAAGTAAGGTGAAATAAGTGATTATTTTGAATTGAAATGTTAACTATATATGTAAATCACTATTTTAGTTTAAAACCGGTTTATTGGTAAAGTGAAACTTTGGGTTATTATACGGTATATTAACGATATAATATTTTTTTACAACCCTACATGTAGATTGACATGTAGAGATATGTTGAATATTGAACAGATAATATAAATAATCTATGGGGTTACTTTAAATCCACGACCCGTTGTTTATTTATGTTAACCTGTTTAATGTTCGGTTCGTATCACTAAAATTGCATGCAAATAGAACTTCACACAATTTTAAAAATTTACTTCAAAAATTTTTACAGATATTTTAAAATGTTAATAAATAGTCCTAAATAGTTCTAAATAACTTTAAAAAAAAAGAATGAGTCCTCCACGTAATAAAGGTAAATCAAGTGAAAATCCTAAATGTACAATATGTGTTTATCATTTTAAAGATTTAGATGGACATGTTTTGAGGATGCATGGAACTACAAGTAATACAAGACAAGAGAGAAGAAATGCGAATTTCCAACATCGAAACAAGGTAATACAAGACAAGAAAGAAGAAATGATAGATTATATAATAAGACCTCATTAATTAAACAAATTGAGGGTTATATAAGAATTCTCTGTAATCAAAAATGCAGTGCATTAGAAGACAGATTAATTTTTGAAGAAAAAATTAGATGGTTCATCTTGTTGAAAAACATCGCTAAAATTTCAGATGAGAACAATCTTTCAATTTTTCAATTGATTTATTCAAATTTTAATCGTGCAAAAAGAGAGAACGATGACAAAATTAAAAGGTGATTTTTTTATCATAAGTATTTTTAAATAACTAATTATTAATATTTCTTAATCTAGATTACGCGAAGAAGTCGAAGTTCTTAGAAAAGAACTTGAAAAAGTTAAAAATAAACTCAAAGAACTTGAACAAGTAAACAATGCAGATTCAGTTTTGAATTCGATGAGAGTGGAACTTGATCAAAAGGATGAAAATATCGATTTATTGACAAAACAAGTCTCAGAATTAAAATTAGTCAACGAAGAAAGGAATAACGTTATCAAAAAATTAGAAGATGATGTAAATTTTTTGTATTCAATAAGAAGTGAAAATTATTATTTAATAATTTTTTAACATACTTTTTTTTTTTTTAAAAAAAAAAAAAAAACCTAGATTAAAAAATTGACAGATAATGTCAAGGTATTAAGTACCAATTTTAAAATGTCAGATAGCAAAAGGAGTCAAAACGCAATAAATGTATATTTTAATAATTTTAACGTATTTTTTTATTTTCTTTTCTTTTTAAAAAAAAACTAACCAATATATTTTTATTATCCGCATTATTCTACACGTAGATGAATGATGCGATAGCTAAACTTGCTTCTAAGGAAAAAAAATACAAGTCTGCCATAGTAGTAAATGAAAAAGATCTTAAAGAAAGAGACCAAAGGGAAACCAAAATCAAGATACTAGAATCTAAGTTAGGTAGTAATAATGCGATATATGAAATTATAGATTCTGATACAGATCCTTGATAGACTATTTATTGGATGATTATTGTAGATTTTAGATATTTTTGTAAATAAAATAACCAATTTATAAAATAATATAAAAATCAGCTTAACTAATATCAATTAATTCATTCTGATAATTTAAATAAATATATTGCATAACAAATTTTAAATACTTCTTTAAAGCATTAGCAATTGTAATTGCTTTAAAGAATTAAATATGGATATACATTGGTTTATTTCGAGATAAATTTGAATATTAAAATTTTTTTTCTTTTTTTTATTGACTCTTTACGTCTTCTTGAATCTTGTATATCTTCTGATGTATTTTGTGGTATAAATTCAGATCTTTTTGTAAAACTATTAAAAATTCAATATATCCAAAAAATGTGACTGGTTTAATATTTTTCATTGCATGTAGTATAAAAAATATATACCGTATGAACCGTTTATTGCAGCTGGTATTAAAACCCGTGATAAAAATAATTCAGCCCGGCACTACAAAAATTTTTTATAGTTAAACAGTCCAGTTTAGGGATGATGCTAAACAGCTCGATTTAGTCAGTTGAACTTTATAAGTTAGGAGTAGTCAGCGTGGGAAGCTTGTGCTATGAGGCTTGTCCACCATACTCGTGCAAACATTAAAAGAAAAAAAGACCATTTGCTCATAAAGAAAAAAAAATTAGTTAAGGAGTTTGTAAAACCATTTAGCCGTGTAAAAACAAGTTCAATCATGAAATAATTTTTCTCACAAGGAAACATTTCAGATGTATAAACTTTAAAAGAATAAAGGAGATTGCCTTTAGCCGTGTAAACATTAAAAGAAAAAGGAGTTTGTGAAACCCTTTAGCTGTCCAGTTATTAATTAAGGAAATTGTTGTGAAACCATTTAGCCACGTAAGAATAAGCACCAATTAAAATATTTTCTCACAAGAATTTCAAGTTTAATGCATGTAAAAAACTTCAGCCGTGTAAACATTAAATTATAAAATGATTTTTCTCAAGAAAAAAAAATTAGTACCAATTAAAAATATTTCTTACAAGGATTTCAAGTTTAATGCTTGTTACTTTAAAAGATAGCTGTGTAAGGAGATTGTGAACCCATTTAGCTGTGTAGAAATGATTTTACTCACAAGAAAAAAATTTAGTTAAACTATTTAGTTGTGTAAAAAAATGATGTAATGATTTTCTCACAAGGAAAAAAATTAGTAATTAATTGATTGTGTAAAAATGAGCACCAATTAAAAATATTTTCTCACAAGAATTTCAAGTTTAATGCATGTGAAACACTTCAGCCATGTAAACTTTAAAAGAAAAAAAAAAATTTTAAAAAAAATTAGTTATTAGTTAATTGTGAAACCATTTAGCCGTGTAAGAACAAGCACCAATTAAAAATATTTTCTTACAAGGATTTCAAGTTTAATGCATGTGAAACACTTCAGCCATGTAAACTTTTTTTTTTAAAAAAAAAGATTTTTCTCACAAGAAAAAAATTAGGTAATTAGTTAAGGAGACTGTTTCAGCCGTGTAAACCTTTAAGGAGATTGTGAAACCATTTAGCCATGTAAACTTTAAAGGAGATTATAAAGCCATTTATCCATGTCACAAGAAAAAAATAATAAACCATTTAGCCGTGTAAACTTTAAAGAAGATTGTGAAACCATTTATCTGTGTAAAACAAGTACAATCATGAAATGTTTTTTTTTCTCACAAGAAAAAAAAATAAGTTACTGTAATTAGTTAAGATTGTCATGAAACTATTTAGCAATGCAAGATGAGCACCAATTAAAAATATCTTCTCACAAGAATTTCAAGTTTAATGCATGTGAAACAGTTCAGCTGTGTAAACTTTAAAAAAGGAGATTGTGAAACCATTTAGTCATGTAAAAACAACAAGTACAAACTATGAAATGATTTTTTATCACAATAATCACTTAAGCTGTCCCTTTTTGTAAAAATGAGCAAATTATTTTTCTCACAAGAAAAAAAATTAGTTAAGGAGATTGTGAATCTATTTAGCCGTGTAAGATGAGCACCAATTAAAAATAATGTTCAATCATGAACAGATTTTTCTCACACTTCAAAATTAAAAGAAAAAAAAAAAAAGAGCATCAATTAAAAATTGATTTTAATTAGTTAAATTGTGAAACCTTTTAGCCATGTAAAAATGAATGAGCATCAATTAAAAAATGATTTGAGATTGTGAAACCACTTAGCCGTGTAAGAACACCAATTAAAAATATAAAGAAAAAGATTGTAAAACCCTTTAGCTATAAAAATAAGCAAATTAATTAATTAAGGAGATTGTGAAATCATTTAGCTGTGTAAAAATCATAAAAAAAAAAAATTTTTCTGTGCACTAATAAAATTAATTCAGCTGTGTAAACTTATGATTTTTTAAATATTTTCTAAGTTAATGAGTTCTAAAAATTAGTTAGTTAACACTTCAGCTGTGTAAACTTTTAAAACCTTTAAATTATTTTCCAACAATACAGTAAACTTAATATGATCAATTTAGTAATCTGAGTATTCACAATTAGCTTAATAACTTTATTTAATTTAAATAAATCATTATGCATAAAAAAAAAACAACCTTAATTAATTAGATTAATTATTTGAAATTAAAATATCTTAAAATTTCTAAAAATGTAAAAAAAAATCATATATGTAGTGAATTTTTCGTATCTTATTCACCCAGCCGGGCCAAATTTCTAAAATTAAAAACATATGATGAAATTTTATATAAATTTTTTTTTAAAAAAAAATTTGGGCCTATTTTTTAGTTAAAGTTATTTTGAAAATTCTTATATTTGTTAACACAATAATCCATAAAACTATCTAAAAATTTCCTAAACATGTTTTCGCTAACCTGATACATATAATTAACTGTTAATCCCAAACTGTTTAATTGTTGAATTGCAAAATCAAATAGAATATTTTTTGATGTTAAATTTTCAAAAAAATAAAACACTTAATTGATGAAACTTCTTCCATTGTGAAAACTCATTTCCATTATATGTGTTAGCTTTGCTCTTTGAAAGAATTGGTTGCTTGATTAGTTCATTAATCGCCTTCTTTCTTTTCTTTTCATCCATTTCTGCAGTTTTCAAATATATCATTTTAGAATGATTGATTCTTAAAAAAAATTCTTCCCATCCTAAATCATGTTGAATCTGATTCTTTTTCTTTCTAAAATTAGTTAGAACAACTGGCCAATCGAAGCTATTTGTAGTTGGAGTATTTGTAGCAAGAATTGATAGTAAAGTTCCGTTTATTCGATCAATAATAAGTTTTGTATGATTTTGCTTGTCCACGTCTTTCTTTGTTGAAACACTAAACAAGAACATAAAGTAATTTAATTTTAAACCAAAATAATAATAAATAAATATTTCCAATAATTGTATTACCTTTGTGAAATATTTTCATTTTCATTAAGCATATCGACTTTAAAATAAGAGGCAAATTTAATAGTGTGTGTACAAAAAATTTAAAACTCGTTTTGTCTTATATTTATTTCGTGTAAAACAAGATATTGCATAAATTTCCATAATAAGGAGTTGTTTAAAGCGGAGCAGAATCATGTGATTCATGGCCAATCAAATTATAGAATTTTGCACTTTAGACGTCCCCCATGGGGTGTTCGGTCAACTAATCAAATCAAACTTATATGTAGACTCATAGGCAGAAATTCGTTTAATTGGTTAATTTTTGTAGATCTACCCGTGATTATTAGCCAATCAAATTCATAGCTTTATTACAATATTGGCATTAACTCTTAACGAAAAAACTGCAAGAAAACGAAAGCCTTATTATATGTAGGAAGAAAATGCATAAATCAAAAATAGATATATTCGAAAATACAATATGCTATAAACGTATAAAGAAAATATAATAAAGAAATTATTACTTTTAACAAGCTTAAACACTCTATATTTCACTGTATATAAACCAAGATCTTTAACAAAACTTCATACGTTTCAAGAACTAATCTAACTTAAAGCCTATCTTATACATTATATTAGACCTCTTTATTAAAAATCTTGTTTTGTCTAAAAACCTAACTTAAGATCTTTTAATCTTAAAAAAAAGAAAAATAAGTATTTCCGTTAGAAACTGTTTCTATTTAGCAGTTTAAAATTTAGAAAAGGCTCTTTTTTTTTTACCTAGTTCAAAAAGTCGTTATTAAGCCAGCTCCTCTTAAATTAGAGATTATTAGAGATTATTTTTGAAGTTAGCTTTCTAGCACCTCTTCGAAGCTAGAAACGATGTTTGTTAAGGGTAGTTACTTGTGTAATGTTACGTTCTTAAAAAGTACTCTAAACCATATAAATAAGTTACCCGGTCAATTGATTTGCATTAGCCAATCAGATGAATTTCTGCCTATGATATGTAGACCCATAATAAAAACATTTAAGCAATTTTTTAATACAAATATATTGTTGCATGAATAAATATCATTTTTTAATAGGAATTTATTATATGAAAGTAATAGATTTTTGAAATCTATCTCCTCTCACAGTATTAATTCTTCAAATTTAAGAATAATATGAAACAGATTAAAAAGGCTTGCTCTTTAATTTGTCGTGGAGATTTTTCTTTTTTGCATTTAAAATTTTATAGAATATTTTATAAATATATATTTAGATTATACAAATATCTATAATATATTAAAATTTTAAATGCAAAAAGAAAAATCCCCACGACAAATTAAAAAGCATGCCTTTTTAATCCGTTTTATATTGTTCTTAAATTTGAAGAACTAATACTGCGAGAGGAGTTAAATTTCAAAAATCTATCACTTTCGTATAATAAATTCCTATTAAAAAATGATATTCATTTGTATAACAATACATTCATATTTAAAAAATTGCTTAATTGTTTTTATTATGGGTCTATATATAAGTTTGATTTAATTAGTTGACCGACTACCCCAATGTCCCCTATAATAAGAATCCAGAAATAGGAAACCGTTAAAGCCAGATGCGAGATTCTAACAGTTTTCAGTCAAAATTAACTGTAATGCGGGCCAAAAACTGTTAGGATTGGCATCTCTACGAAAGAAATGATAAAACATCAGTAATATAGAATTGTGAACTACTACAAATATTTTATTGCAAAATTGTAAACAATAACATCTGATAAAAAATAATTCAAATACTAGTGCTTCTATTTGTCTTTAACATGGCACGAACCCATCATAATATGTATGCCTGAATCCACGACTTCCAACTATTATTATAGCAATAAAATCTTTTTAATTGCAGATATATAAGGATCAGGTTGATCAACTTCGAAAGTTCCATATACGATTGGCTCGTAATGTTCAATGAACAAAAAATATGAATAGTGAGATTTTTTAATACTATAAAATTGATCATAAATCAATACGAGTAAAAACTTGATATAAAGATCATCACACTCTCTCTCCTGACCACGTACGTCTAGGACGGAGAGAACATAGAAAAGACAAAATAAACTCTACACAAGAGCTTTTTAAACTCAAAACCAGCAAAAGAACGGGGGTTTCCCCCCTAGTTCCCAAGAAACGGAAACTTTTTAGCACAGAAACTAATAAAAACAAGAAAACTAAGACACT